AAAAACAAGAGGATAATTTAAATAAAATGAAGTGACATATTTTTAAGGATCCTTGGAAGATCCTTAAAGATCATATTCTGGAAAGTGTGTGTGTGTGTATGTGTGTGTGTGTGTGTGTGTGTGTGTGCATTTAAATTTAATTTAAATTGATACATAAAAACAAAATTGTGCATATTAATGAAGTACTATTGAATATCATTTCTTTAGGGTAAAACCATTTATGATCCTTCTAGCTTTTTGAAGCACATAAAACATTATTGGTATCTGTAGCTACCCTACTGTATCATAACACATCAGAAATTCTTGCTCCGATCTGTCTGTAACTTAGTACCCGTTGATCACACTTTCCTCTTCTCGCCCCCACCTTGCTATCCCTGGTAAAATGGTAATCATTATTCTACTTCAACTTCTAAGACTTGGGTTCTGTGTTTTATGCTCAGAGAAGAGGCATAAGAGGTGAGGAGGAGGCTCAGCCATGTAGGAGCACTGCGTGCAGAGCAGCTCTGCCTTTACATGTTTTATGTAGTTTCTATGTTGGACTTCTCCATAAAATCTACTTTGGGATAATGGCATGATTTCAACGGCTAAAAGTAAATTGGTTGGTAAATAAATATTTGGTTTGAATGTCACTAGATTAAGCCCCAAAGTAAGCCACATTATTAAGTTCATTTCATTAAAACTGGAAAATAATAAAAAATTAAAAGAAAATGTAGTATCTACTGCCCAGTTTCACTTAAGTAACAACAGGGTTAGAGAAAATAATCACAGTTACAATTATAGTATATTTTGAAAAGAAATAAAAACACTGTATGAAAAGCTGTCAGTTACAGCTAGAAAAATAATGAGAGGCAACTTCTCTCAGGCTGGTTCCACATCTAATCCATACAACATAGAAAATGATGTGAATACCTATTTTCTAAATTCTCCTAAGGACTGAACATAAAGAGTACTATTCTAGATGCATTGAAGAGCAATTAATTTATTGGATACAACAGATCCTTAAGGCATTAGGGCTGAATTCTCTTAGAGAATCCTGGTTGAACAAGGCGGACATGCTTCGTTATTAAAATGATAATCCGTAGTGTTGATGAGGTTATGGGTAGTTGAGCATTCTCATATAGTGCTGGTGGGAGTATGAATTGAAACTGCCTAACCAAAAAGTAGTTAATCTACTTATAGTCATAAATACTTTAAACCTTATGCTCTTTGCTTGACAGTATCACTTTCTAAAATGGATGGCAAAGAAAGAGATTTGGACAAGTATTTGTGTACAGAGTCCTCATAACATTAGTTTTTCAGTCTTTATTATGGAACTTTCCTCACTATAGAAAAATAGAGATTAAGATTTATATTCTTATCACCCAGCTCCACATTATAAGTATCTTTTAATCTTATTTTCTTCCCCTATCCTGTACATGTTAATTTTTTCCCTAAACTATTTTAAAACAAATTTCAGACAATATACCATTACATCATTAATACTTTTTAATGCAACTCTTACTATCAGTAGAATTTTTGAAACATATTATCTATGTTTAAGAAAATTGATGATACTTTGTATTTAGTCTAGATTCAGATTTCCCTGATATACCACTGTTGATATGCAGTTCAGCTCATTTATTTAAGTTTGTTTTTACTATGAGGGATTTTCTTTTCCTTTTTCCCCTCTTTTTGGCTTATTCAGTTTTCTAATTCTAGGAATTGTTTACATGTTTAGTTAAAATATAGCAGGGTACAGTTCTAGAAGACTACTAATCTGTGTTTTCCCTCCCTATATACAGAATCATTCCTTTTTGGGGGTTGGATTTTATTTAGTAAAATTAAGAAACATCATCATGATCTGGGTGCAAAAGTTAGAGGACTAGAAGAAAAAAAATGAGTAATTGAAAGAGCCATAAATGCATTTTTTTCTATTATATTATTGAAGTTGGCTAAGAAACATGTGTGATAAAATACTATAAAAAGACCAGAACTCAAAATATTTTGTTTTGCCTTTATATGAAACATCAATAATGTCAAAACAGAAAAACAGAAAAAAATTGAATTGTTGGAAATTAAAATGAACAAAGGTATCAGTGCAATGTGATTCCTTTAGAGGAGTGGTAGGTATCATGCTTGCATTTAGCATAATCCCACAGTTTCATTACATTATAATTAACACAATTATTTCAATTTAGGTTTTGGTTTGTATTTTTATGCTTTTTGGAATCATAAGCATCATATTCATTTATTGTTCTTTCTTAAAATTATCGAAATATGAATACTGTTCCTATAATAAAGAAACATTTACACCTAAAGCCCTACATTTATTGATCATGGAGGCCTTCCATATATGTCTTAAATAATAGTTTAATAACTGAATCTCTAGATGACTTATTTCCTAATTCCAGAAAGCTACATATTATAGAACTAAACACTATGGTTCATTAAAGCAATGAGTTATTACTTCTCATTGGTTTTGTATATATGGCACTTGGATGTACTCTGGAGATTGTTTGATAATGCACACCTAATCTAATGTATATTAACAAAAGATTCCCCTAGGACAATTCTGCGGTTCTTAATAAGGTCATTCCCAGGGTACCAGCTGCCCACAGAAGTTTAAGAAGGAGAACCCTATTGTACCCAACTGCAGAAAAGAAAAGGAAATCAAGAACGTACAGGATCTATGTTAGATAGGACAGTTGTCTTTCACATTCCAAACACCATGTAGCAGTCCATCCATTATTCTGGGTATGGACAAATCCATAGAAAATACATGTCCTAGGCTTTATGACTGGATTCTTTCTTGACAGGACTATAGTCCCCAAACTTACATCTTTACAAGCAGCCTACATTATAATTCTTTGTAAATTTTGCCTGATTAGCTCAAAATAATTAAATAGCATCATATGGTGAGGAAGGGTGTTTACTTGCTACAAAGCGATGATATTCTAGATATTTAACAACTTATAACATGAAGGTCATCTACTTAGATGGTACAGGACTGACACCTGCCAATATGGCCCAGTATTAGCATTATATTAGGCCTGCTTGCTTCATTTGCATAACATTGCATCTCACTTTTTGAAGGGCTCTAGTTGTGGCAGGGATTGTCCCAAGTGTAGCCCATGCTCTTTAGCACACTGAAATCTTACTGACCACTTGAAGGCTGACAACTTGAAGGCTCTCCATATTAAGCTGTTTTTATTTTATTTTATTTTTTTTATTTTTCCCTTTACTGTGCTGGGAAGTGAATCTAGAGCCTTGTGCTGGGCAAGCACTCTACAGCTGAGAAGCACTCTACTGTACTGAGCAACATCTCTAGCCCTTGAATTGGAATCATTTCAATCATGCATAAATGAAATTACTATTATGCTCAAAAAACTTTACAGAAACGAGGTAGCTAAGTGCTGATGAACACCCGTTTTCTTGTGAAGAAAAGAGGTTGGTAATATTTGAAGGAGGCTGGCATTTACGAAATTTATGTAGGGATGATTATATTAGAAAAAGATTGTTGGGTATGATATAAACATAGGTTGTGCTTCTGATGTAGTGACCTTAGTTAATGTTTGATCTCCTGTTCTGAGCATGTGTTTGCAGTTCATATTAAACTGTGCATCACAAGCATTTCTTTTCCATATCATGATTTAAATTTTGTCTCTTGGTTTTGAGCCTGTGGACAAATAGAATTTTAGATTTTCAAATACGATGCTGAATTTAGGCCTGTTAATAATAAAATACCTATTAAACAATTTGATTTAGAGATATGTAGGTTATTCTAACTTGATAAACATCAAATATTTGATAATATGATATGGTAAAATGATTAATGCAAACAGGAAACTGTTCTTAAAATTTTACCCAAACTAGAATAATGAGCACACATTGCTTTGGGGACACCTAACCTTGTGTCTGGTAATGTCCATGTGGTGGTAAGAAATGACAAAGGAATGAGAGTTAATATGTTAACATTTAAAAGTTTTAATATCACATTTTTTAGGTAAAACTTTCAAATTTTATATTCATTTTGTTATCTGTGGCCCATGCTTTAAAAAAAATCCCTTGGTGAAAATATTATAGGAAATCTTATTTGTAGACACTAATAATAGTATATGGAGTGATAGGCTTATTATGTTCTGTGTTTTCCTGTTCAGAATGTTGAATTTTATTCTCTAGTAGTGACACAATTAAATTCCTTAATCACTGAGGTCTATTCCATGATTTCACTGGTTATTTTACTAGGCTTTCCAACCTTAGTCAGTCCTGTATTCTAAATTTTGTATAATATTGTGTTGTAAGAATTAGTAATGATATTTTCTATTTCAGAATTGTTTTCAATTATTGATTTAGGATATTATTTCTTAGTGTATAAGTTTAGTTTGGTCTAGAAAGTCATTCATACCTATAAGTAGAGAACACCTAAATACACCAATTTTACCTGTGCACATGCTTCTAAATTATGGTCTAGAAGCCAGAAACATCAACATCATTGGGGAGTTTGATAGAAATACAGATTACTTGGCTCCACTTGGGACTCACTGAACCAAAATCACTGGGAGTAGGCCCGCCATTATATGCTTTAAAAAGACCAAGTGAATCTGACAGGATCTAAAGTTTGAGAACTACTATACTAGAAGGAGCTCAGTGCATAATTCTGTGCTTGTAGAGAAGGAAATAATTGTCACATGTGGTGAGGAATTATGTTTGATAGTGTGTTTTTTTAAAGAACTTATTTTCTTTCACATTGTATTTGCTGATAGAAGTATTAAGTTGAAAGTATACCTAAAAATGTCATAATTAATTTTAGGGAGCAAAAGGCAAACTTTCAAGTGTATTTCTTATAAACTTAGAATAATCTATTTTTCTCTAAATGGATAGAATATTTTGATTGGTAACTTAGAAAACTTACATTTTTAGGTAATTTTATTTTGTATATAAAGCTAAATGTATATTATGCTTTACTTGACATTTGTTGTTCTATAAAGCTATTGTTAACAGATTTTCTTCCTCTGTTTTAGATGGTTGGAATCCATTTTCTTACCCATATAAAAAGCTGGACTATGGAAAATGGGAGCTGTATATACCACCAAAGCAAAATAAATCTCTTCTTATTCCTCATGGATCCAAATTAAAGGTATGTTGCTTCCTCATGAGTCTACATTTGCTTATCATTTTATTTTCATTCTGTCTGCAAAGTTCAATTTAAAATATTAGAATGCCCAACTGATACATGATAATGGTGGGAGAAACAGTCTAAATGTCTCAATAGAAGAAAGTGTAAGAGAGGGCATCAACAAATTAAAACATGTTAGAAGTGTTTGGCTGGTAAGGTACCAAAATGAGTTATGAGAGGTTTGAGACATTTATATAAGAAGTGATAAATAATAACTGACCGTTGAGTTTTTCTTAACAAACAAAAAAGTTTAAGCAAAAAATTAAATAAGCAAATGTAGAGAGGATTTTTACATGTCAGAGAGTCTTGATGAAATCTGTGCTGCAGTGAATTGTGGGAATGTGGAAGGGATGCTGTATTTGAGGCTCTTTTTAGTGGGAGATCATGCTTTTTCTGGTCCTTTACCTTTCCGGCCTCTGATATGAAGGGTCTTATTTCTGTTCTTCTGTGGGAAGGCCACTTGTATTAGCCTGGTGGTCTGCCTCTTTGAGGCAGGTTCATCATCCTCCATAGTCCAGCTGCTGTGGCTTACTATGTGATTCTGCATTCCATTGTCTGTAGAACAGATGTGCCTGACCTCTCCTGTCTCCTGAAGTGATGTTTGGCAGATTGGTCCCAAATGTTGAAGCAATTTTTTAGACTCATCTTTATTTATTTATTTATTTTTTGTTAAGATAGTCTTGCAGTGTAGTATAGGTTGGTGTGGAACTCAGTCCTTCTGCCTCAGCCTCTCAAAGGCCTGGATTTCTCAATTTTGAAGGGACATATCAAATAGCTTGATTTTTCTTAGTTTATAAGTTCTAATTTTGTATAAACTGTGAGGCAAGGCAACATTTTTTTTACTTGTATTAATGTTTTGTTATTTTAAAAACTGAATTTATTACTTTTTACAAATGTTGAATATTTTTCTGCTTTTTTCAGCTTCTTAATTTTATGAGCATTTAAAATTTACTTTATAAATTAAGTCATGAATGAATCAATTTCAAAGTATTGTTTCTATACAAGTTGGAAAGGTAATTAAATACATATTCAGCAAATAATGAAGGGGATGAATTCAGCTATGATATATTATAAGAACTTTTGTAAATGTCACAATGTACCTCCAAAACAATAATAATAAAAAACTACATATTCAGGATCCCTAATCCAAAATTCTTAAATCTGAAATCCTCCAAAATCTGAAAATGTTTAATGTTGTCATGACACCACAAGTGGAAGTTTCATACCATGACATTTCATTTCATTCATAAAATTATTAATAATATTGTATAAAATTTCCTTCAGGCTATGTGAATAAGTATATATGAAACTTAAATGAATTTTGTATTTAGGCTTAGGTACCCTCTTTAGGATGCCCCACATGTACACAAAAATGTTCCAAAATCTGAAAAAAAATCTGAAAAAAAATCTGAAATTTCAAACATGTCTTGTTCCAAGTATTTCAGATAAGTGATTCTCTACCTGTAACAGGGATGAATGATTGTTAATATGTGTTGGGAATTATGTGAGGAATTGCCTCTCTAGCCTGACAGAAATATCCTACAGTTTTGCACCATGCTATGGACCATATTATGCTTTCTTTAAAAGAACATTATCTTGGTAAGTGAAACAGTCTGATGACTTAAAAGAGCTTTTACATTGTCACCTGGACTTTCAAATATATGTTTTATGGCAAAGAAACATTCAACAAACACCAGGTGAACTCTTTCTTCTTTATTATTTCCTAAAAATTTTGATGAAAATAATTAACTATAGAATTACCCCAAATATTTTACTAGTCTTTAGAAATTGAAAATGTTGAGGAACATTGTAATATTAGCCTGGTGATATAATTGACTGTTCACTTATGAAAAGTGATGCATCTGTCTTTGGGGAAGGGATTAAATTCACAATAAGAATCAACTGACTTGAGGTTTTGGCCTTTAAATCTGAAGTTGTCCCTTGGTAGTATATCTTGGTAATTAAAGATCTTGTTTTAAATGAACTTGAAAATTTGTTTCAGTTCACAAGGGATTGACCTTTATTACTCACTTGAGGATGTCTCTCTTATGATTTATTTGGTAACTATTAACACAAAGGAAACATTACTTACCATTGAAATTATAGCTTTTTTTTCTCTTCAACATACTTGAGCTGTTCAATTGAAAAGTATGACAAAATTTATTTAACTGCTTATATGGTCATATATGTGTTTCCTTTTTCAAGTTTTAAGGGAGTTTTTAAGCAAAATATTTAACAATATCATGATATACTAAAGTAAATTAAACATTCAAGGCTTTAAAGATATAGGAAACAATAAAAGACTACCTTTCTGAAGGATAGATTTATATTACTCTTGTCTTTCAAACTCATTTTGAAAACATAGCCAAATTACTTTATTTAAAGGCTTTTTTGTTCACTGTTTAAAAATGTATACCTCTAATAACATTATTATATAAAAAATCTTCCCAGACTTTTTATAGCATTTTATCAGTTATTAAAGGTCTACTTTCTGTCAAGTGCTATCTTTGATCTATGATGCTTGTACTGCATTGGAATATATTTAGTACATGTATGTGTGTATATGCATTTTAAACATAAAATTGTATTGCAACGAAAAATAGTGAGCAGTTTGTTCATTCTCTGTTGGCATCAGAGAAACTTGCAGAGGTGGTGACATTTCAGCATGCCTGGTAACATGTTTAGAAGTTGACTAGAGAGGTAGAAGGAAGAAAGGTACTCTAAGCTCAGAATGCTATATGAGTAGAAGTGTATATTGATCCAGGTGTTGACAGAAGCAAATGATACACTCAAAATAAGACAGTGTGAATGGGTATTATTTTCAAAAAGACTATTTTCAAAATTAGCATCCAAAGAAAACCACAAGAGAGTTCAAAGACAGATATGGTTGGAATGCATCTAATTTTTAACCCTGCTTAGTCTGTAAGAAACAAGGATCAATAACTAGAAATATGAAAGGAGAAGGAGTGGGCCTTTCTAAGAGGAGCACTGAAGTTTGGTTGAGAGCCACAGTCAATTCATGGTAACCTTGCTGAGAAGGAACCAGAGAAGTAAAGGAAACAAATGCTCCTATCCTACATTCCCCTTCTCTCTCTGACATCTTGCTGGGGCCTTACATTAGCCAAAATGAACAGGAAGCTAGAGTTCCAAGAAATAGGGTCCAAGCAGGCCAGCCTGCTATGGCAGAGAACTAGGAGAAAACTATGTCTGTTTTAACCAGCAAAATGTAGCTCATTCAAGAGGTCAAGAAAGGTAAACTTGAAAGGTTGGTTGGAGGCAGAACCCTGAATTCCTTTTCTTCTAATTCCCATTTTCTCTTCTTTTTGTCATTCACATTAATATTCAAATGACTAGTAATGATAGGTAGAATTATCTTCTTTATAGTGTTAGAATGTTTGTATACTTTAATTTTTCCTTATCAATCAGTAAGAAAAATCTACCAGAACAAAGTTTTTCTTGATCCCAGCCCTTTAACATTTCCCATGTGTTAAACCACTCAGGCTGCCATAACAAAAGGCCATAGAATCAATGGATTAAAATGTAGAATTTTATTTTCTTACAGTTTTGGAAACTGGAATTCCTGGATGCCAGTGTGGTTGTTGTTTTCTAAGGGTCTCTTCATAGATTTCAGAGAGTGATCTTTCTCTGTATCTTCACATGGCAGAGTGAGAGAAAGGGAGATGGAAGGAAAGAATACATGGATGTGCAAGTGTGTAAAGTCTTTGGTGTGTCTTCTGCTGGCACTTAAATCACAATAGATACTTCTGAGGGTACTAAACCCACTGTGTGAGATCCAACCTCATGACTGTATCTAAACTCAATTAACTCCCAAAGGCCTCATCTCCAAGTATCATCACATTAGGGTTTAGGGCTTCAATATATGAATTTGAACTGATACAGTTTATCCCATATCATATTATATTGCTTTTCTAATTATACAGCGTATTTAGAAGTTACATAGTTGATTGGTAGAAAAGTGGCATGAACACTTACAGCCTACATTTCCAATTTTGTTAAATAAGACACATGGAAAATTAGACATTCATATTTATTTTAATCCTTCATAATAGCCCTATGAAAGCTGGTATTATCATTTCATGTAAAAGATAAGTATACTAGAATCAAAAGAAATTAAAGAGACAGTACAAGGTGAGACTGAATTCAGGCCTGACCACACGGTCCAAGTTTTTAAAAATGCTGTATAACCAATCAGGTTAAGTGTTCAAGGAGAAAAGAAAGGGGGAAAAAGCAACAATGAAAAAGTAGAAATTGAAACATGTCTGAGATTTTACATACGATTTTATACCATATATTTTAGCTGTTGTGTGGAAACTGTCATCCCATTTTTCAGTGTCTGAGAAAGGGTATTGAAGAGACCTTCCTGAGAGAAAGGAGATAATTTGTAAAGAGTCTAGGTTATATAGGATAGGAATTGAGTTTGGTTAAAACAAAACTAATTATTGAGACATAGAATGAGATTGATAGGCAGAAGGATCCATAGAGAGATTTTGGGAAGGGGTGTTGCACATTGAACAGTTAGTGTCTAATTATTTATTTAAGAGGGTTGATTTGAAAAGTGCTTTATCTTTCATTTCTAGAATATTTTCTTGTGTTATATCTTTGTCAGTTTCCTTGTCTTCACAGTCATGCTTATTTGTTTGAAGGGTTTCCAATATGCGTACAGTGGATCTCCTAGATTTTCTTGTCTTTTTCTGTCAGTGAATTCATCATTTTGACTTTCTGTTCCACTTTGATTACTTTCCCTTTCAAGTACTTTTGTTTTAATAATCATATTTTAAAAATTTCTAATGATGTACTTTTATCTTTCCTTTTTATTAATGAATTCTGTTCTTAAGTACCCAAAGATATTTTCCATTTTGAGGAAAGTAATTACCTGTGTTTTCTTTTGTTTTTCAAGTTTTCTTCTTATCGAATCCACTCTTGACCCTGAATCTCTCAAA